CTGGGGGCCAAGCATCATTGCACAAACACATGTAAAAGGAATTCAAAATTTTCATCGAACGCTATATTCTTTGCGACTGCTTGCAAGATGTCCACACCTTTGTCAATCATGCATATTTGCAAGATGATATCTCCTCTTTTTGCAAAGCTGTATTTAGCTGCAAGATGCTCCTTTATTGGCAGTGGTGTATTTGCAGGCGCCTCCCCTTTTGGAAATGACACGTTTGTAGGCTCCTCATCTTTTGGCAATGGCGTAGTTGCAGGCTCCACCTCTTTTGGCAATGGTGTATTTGGAGGCTCCACCTCCTTTGGCAATGGCGTATTTGCAGGCTCCTCCTCTTTTGGCAATGGCGTATTTGCAGGCTCCTCCTCTTTTGGCAATGGTGTATTTGCAGGCTCCTCCTCTTTTGGCAATGTTGGCTCCTCATTTGGCAAAATAATTATGATATAACATAACAAGGAATATAACAATAAATGAAATTTCTACCTGGATTGTTACATAAATCTATGGTCTTGGTCAAGGTTCCATAGGAGGTATTATGATCTCAACTGTTTAAACAATATTTAGTACAGCGCCTACCTGGTATGTTACACAAATCCTTTGAAAGTAATTCTCTGCTCATTAGTGGAACCTCTGGGGTGCGCCTAAATGTACCCCCACATGATCCGATGTCAGCAAATTCCATGGGAAGTTTTAGTAGCTGAGTTCGACAAAGAAAAAAAATATATGTATATTGTACTTCCATGTGGTGGCATATCCAGCTGGGAAGGTGGCGGTATTTGGATGCATGGTGTCATAAAATATGGGACAAAAAATGAAGTTTCTACCTGGATTGTTGCATAAATTTTATGGTCTTGGTCAAGGTTCTGTAGGAGGTATCGTGCATCAGCTCCATCCTACAACAAACACTGATCTCAGCTGTTTGAACAATAATTAGTACAGCGCTTACCTGGTCTTTCACAGAAATCCTTTGAAAGCAATATTATTCTGCTCATTGTTGGAGCCTCTGGGGTGCACCTTTATAATACATCTTCACGTGATCCGATGTCAGTAAATCCCATGAGAAGTTTTGGTAGCTGAGTTGGAAAAAAAGTATATTATACTTCCTCGTTGCATGTTTGAGTGAAAAATAGGCCCTTATAGGTTTTCTCGGTCAATTCCGGCAAATGAGCAGCCAATTTAATTTTCGTGCGTTCGAATAGAAGCTATTTTGCCTCTCCAGTTGTTACTGCGTTTCAAATTCAGAATTCGGCCATTCAATTTCGTTTTGAGGCATTCAAATTCCTTTAGCACTGTGTTCAATTTAGCATATCGTCATTCTTTTTCGTGACACACAATCATCATTCAATTTAGCAAAGCTGGTTCGACTGGAGATTTTACTGATTTAATTTTTTTTTCAATTTCGTAAAGAGGCAATCAATTTCGCTTAAAGAGAATTCAAATAAGTACGACTAAAGAAATACGAATAAACAGATAAACTGTACTAGGCAACTGTTTCGTATCTTCACTTTAATTCAGGCAAACCTTGTTTTCTTTATTTATGCTTCCAGTAGACTTTACATGGGGCCAATGAGGTTTTTTCTTCTTCTTTGTTTTCTTCTTCATTCTTTTTTTTTGGGGGGGGGATCTTTATTGGTTAACTGACCAAGACCTAATTTTGTATTGTGTTTGAATGGGGTGTTTCTTTATGTTTTTCCTGGTTTTTTATTGTTTATGTTGTTTCTTCCTCAACCATCAATCTGTTGGTGTGCCAGACATCTTGGCATATATGTTTGGGTATGGTTGTACCACTGCATGCACTTCACTTGGGTGATGACATCAACGCTCTGGATGGCTGCTTGTTGAAGGAGATCGCACCTCCACTGCTGCATGTTCATTCCTGCTTGCTGGGCAGCCTGTCTGTCTCCGACATGTTGTTGCCACTCAGGTAACCCAAGGATGCGTTTAACTGCAGCCTTGAATGCAGAGTGTGCCATCTCCGTGCTGTTCAGGAATGGGGAGTAGGGAGGGAGGCGCTTCAGCTGGATCATTGGGTTGGCACCTTCAGGGAGTTTGGCTCGCACGTGAGGCCTCGCATTGTCGTATATGAGGTAAATGGGTTCGTCGTCTGGGAAAACTGCATCACACTCTTGAATTGTGTCCGCAAGAAACTCCTCGAATCTCTCTCGCGTCACAGTTTCGAATGCGATTCGGTGGTGCACCAAGCCTACTTCACTAGAAACAGCGAAGGTGACATTGCAATTTCTCCCTCGTTGTCTGTCGACGACTCGTCTTGCAGCGATCCGTCGTGGAGCTCTACCCTGGGAGCGTCGAGTCCAGACGTTATAACCTGTCTCGTCAATGAAGACTAGATGCGCCAGAACACCATGCTGCAGGAACCACTCACCATACTGGATGCGTTGATCAAGAACTTCAGGGGAATTTCTTGCATCAGGGACGTCCTCCACTAGTTTCAGTGTAATCATCATCCCATCCAAGGCCCTGGCTGTGGTGGCAGTAGAAACCTGGGGCTTCTCTGGCAGATGCTCACTCAAACTAGCCTTCATTTGTTGAAGTGTCAAGACGGGATTAGCGTCAAGGATGCCTTGCAGATGGTTTCGCATGTCATCATCCATCTTGCTGTGGGTTACTCCTCCTCTTGCCAGCGTCTCTCGCCTTCCAGTCCTCAAATATGTTGCAACAATTGATCTGGCTGTGGACTTGTTGATGTTCCAATTGACCGCAAGCTCAAGGTAGTCTTGCTCGTTTCCCTCGAAGGCCTCGATCAACCTTTCTCGATCTACCTGGGCCACTCTAGCGTAGCGACCACGAGCTGCCATTTCTAGAAATATGCGTGTAAAACTGTAGCGAAAGCTCGTCTTCGAAGTACATCGGCAAAGTGACTCAAGTGCCAAAAGTGAACCGTATTTATGCCTGCAACATTCTTAAGGGAACAAAAATTTAACAAAGCGTTTTTTAGATTGCACAAATTCCAGAAATGACTGCCCAAAAATGAATTTGAATGACTAAACACACGCCTCAAAAAGCTCCTGCGAATTTGAATGCTGCTTTGTTGAATTGTTAAATTGCATGATTATTTTGTTAAATCGAATGACGCAACAGTACATTTGACTGGTCATAAAACGAAATCGAATGACCCTTTTCAGTAGCATTTGATTTCGCGCGAAATAGAATAGCGTAGTGGTTAAATTGGCTGCTCATTTGCCGAAATTGACCGAGAAAACCTATAGTAGTAGGATGAAAATTAATAGCACAGGGAAGGCAATTACTTTCAACGTTTTGCTGGACACAGATAATTTAACTCACAGTACTTACATTATTCTTAAACACGTGTGTTGAAGATGCAAAATAACTTCTTGGCCAACTTGCAGCTCTGTTGTTCAATGTTTGCCTCTGGAAGTTTTGATAAGATTGAGTGAGAAATATAACAAGTGACTACGCTACACTTGAGTCTCTTTGCTGGTGAAAGACGGTCCTCCTCCTTTGGCAAGGAGGTTGTTGCATGATACTTGCAATGGCAGTGGCATTTGTAAGATATGCTCTTCCTTTGGCAGAATGGCACATCTCATGGATGAGTACATCTCTTATTCTGGCTGTTCAGAGAGAAATGTAATAAGTGACTATACTTTTCGTCTTTTGCTGGTGAAAGACGGTCCTCCTTTGGCAATGAGGTAGTTGCACGATGCTCCTCCTTTGGCAATGGCATTTGCAAGATGCTCCTCCTTTTGCAGAATGGCACATCTCATGGATGAGTACATCTCTTATTATAGCTGTTGAGAGAGAAATGTAATAAGTGACTATACTTTTCGTCTTTTGCTGGTGAAAGACGGTCCTCCTTTGGCAATGAGGTAGTTGCACGATGCTCCTCCTTTGGCAATGGCATTTTCAAGATGCTCCTCCTTTTGCAGAATGGCACATCTCATGGCTGAGTACATCTCTTATTATAACTGCTGAGAGGGAAATGTAATAAGTGACTAAAATACGGTTTATAAGAAGTGACTACGCTTTGGGTCTCTTTGCTGTTGAAAGACGGCCCTCCTCCTTTGGCAATGAGGTAGTTGCACGATGCTCCTCCTTTAGCAATGGCATTTGCAAGATGCTCCTCCTTTTGCAGAATGGTACATCTCATGGATGAGTACATCTCTTATTATAGCTGTTGAGAGAGAAATGTAATAAGTGACTAAACTTTCCGTCTATTGCTGGTGAAAGAGGGTCCTCCTTTGGCAACGAGTCAGTTGCACGATGCTGCTCCTTTGGCAATCGCATCTGCAAGATGCTCCTTTTGCAGAATGGCACATCTCATGGATGAGTACATCTCTGATTCTAGCTGTTGAGAGAGAAATATACCAAGTGACTACGCTTTGCATCTCCTTGCTGGTGCAAGACGGTCCTCCTCCTTTGGCAACGAGTCAGTTGTGCAATGCTCCTCCTTTGGCAATGGCAAGTGGGTCATTCTATAAATTTGGGGTCCAAAGTGTGACATTTTCCCGTCCCTGTTACCTTGGTACTTTGTAATTTGCCATTCAAGCATCATTAAGAATGACTTCAAGTGATTGTTTATTTGTTGGGTAGGTAGTTTGCTATTCACAATCACTCTTGGAGGATGACTGCATTAAGGAGTGCATCAGAATTATACAATCATAGATGTCAGATGTAACAGGGACGGGGAAAAAGTGGACCCCAAATTTATAGAATGACCCAACTGCAAGATGCTCCTTCTGCAGAATAGCACATCTCTTTATTCTAGCTGTTGAGAGAGAAATATACCAAGTGACTGCGCTTTGCATCTTCTTGCCGGTGAAAGATGATCCTCCATTGGCAATGAGTCAGTTGCAAGATGCTCCTCCTTTGGCAATGGCATTTGCAAGATGCTCCTCCTATCTGTAGAATGGCACATCTCATGGATGAGTTCATCTCTTATTCTGGCTGTTGAGACAAATATAACAAGTGACTAAACTTTGAGTCGCTTTGCTGTTGAGTGCAGTTTAGTACAATCACATATGCAAATATAAAATGAAATATTGTATTAGAATTTAGTATTTAGTATTAGAATCCATACATGTAATTGGATCACAGTTTTATCAAAATCATAGAAGTTAGTTTCATGAGTGACCTACGCTGGTGTATTAAATAAGACGCCTGCATCATGGCACATCTCATGGATGAGTACACCTCTTATTCTAGCTATCTAGAGAAATATACCAAGTGACTATGCTTTACATCTTCTTGCTGGTGCAAGACGGTCCTCCTTTGGCAATGAGTCAGTTGCATGATGCTCCTCCTTTGGCAATTGCATTTGCAAGATGCTCCTTCTGCAGAATGGCGCATCTCGTGGATGAGAAAAATATAACAATTTATAACACTAGGTTTCACACGTAACTGGGACACCACAAGACACCATCTTAAGTGTGAAATATAACAAATGGTCATATATTTTTTTGTTTCTCAGCATTGCTGTCTTGTTGTTTTCTTATCCTTTCATTTACTGGACAGAATTTTTAAAATACCAAGGAAAAGTAAACAATGTGACCATTGAAGACATTTACACACAGCAGAATTGGTTTAACACGTAACAGGGCCACGGGGATGTACACAAAATGTCACCATAATAAACCATAATATTGGGGAACATTCATCACATCTTAACATTTATTTCTTTAAAAATTGTATATCATGTTGAAACCGAGTTGGCACATCCACCATTTTGACCTGAAAAATGGCATAGTTTTACCTTTTGAGGAGGCAAAATGTTAATATTTTAAGACTGTACATTTTGTCCCACTTTTTAGCCAAAAATATGAGAATTTTACATTTCCTATTTAGTTAAATTTAAAAAAAAATACAATATTTCCTATTGGACCCCTAATTTATAGAAGACCCATTTGCTAGATGATGATTCTCCTTTGGCAATTTGCAGAGGATGCTCCTCCTGCTTTGGCAATGACGTATATGGAAGACGTTCCTGCTCATTTGGCTATGTCATATTTGCAGGACGCTCTTCCTATATAGACAATTTACCTTGGAAGAGGCTTCTCATCCTTTTTGGAATGACAAGTTTGTAAAAGTTTGTCTTTCGTCCTTTAATAACCGTGCAGTTGATTAGTAATTGCTACTAAATGAAACGTCTGCCTTGCAATTGTTTCTTGCATCCCCATAAATATGATCACAGTCTGTAGACTTGACCACTTTTTTGAACTGTACAAACTTAGTTCATTTCAATTTTTTCTCAACTTTCATGTTTTTTTTTCATGAGAGACACTTGTGGTGCTTTCTCACTTGTTTCTTTTTTTTCTTTCTTCTCTCTTTTTTTCCTGTGTTCCTCTTTGCCTTCATATCAAGGAACGTGGATGTTTTAGACCTGCAGTTTAATGACAAACTCTGGTGAATTCAGTATATTTATGCTGAGTACATAGCAATGGAAAAGCACACTAAAATGCTAATATGTGTTCCATCCTCAAAAGAAAACCTTAAGTTCCGGTACATGTGTATTGGCTCAGGGATTGATGTTTTTGTTTTTTTTGACAATTTGAAACTGAACAGAATTATCTCCAAAGTCAAAGACTTTCGTTGCAGTAGACATACATGTTTCCTCATAATTACACTTAATTGTACTAAATCGGTATTCAAGCTTCAGCAATCTTGTACAAGCCTTACCCAGTGTTCATCATGTGTGGCTGTTTATCATTTTTTGTACATTCCTTCGCTTTGATAACATATTAACTGATATCACTTTAGCTGATGGTCATTTTCTCAACAACAAAAATGAATCGGGAAGGACTTATATGTGCCCTTCAGTGGCAGATCCAGCATATTCAGAAGGTGGGGCACAGAAAGTGGAAGCGAAATTCAAACACACAAGTGCGGCATATATTTGCTTATGTGGGTGAAAATTTCTGTCTTTGAAGTGAATTGATAATAACCACTTGACGGTACAAGAAATTTGGGAAAGACGTAGGCCTACCTCTTCAAAAAACAGAGAGCTGTGATAATTGGAGAGGGGGTTGCTGGCTGTGCCCACTCTGGATCCGCTATACTGCCTTTTTATCATTTTGCTTCATTCCAATATCCCCCTCCCCTTTAAAAAAATAATTATAATAATAAATTAATTAATTAAAAATAAAAAAGTTTTGAACCTAACGATGTTGGTTCTTTACAAGCATTATTTTATCACATACGCTGCCATACTTCCAAATGACTTTTGTACAAACTTATCCGCTGTGACACTTGGTTTATGAAAAATTAATGTACTTGATACATTGAAAATCGTAGAACCTGGATCTTTTGTTGCATAGCAAAGAAAAGCCCTAAAGGTTTACTTTTTTGTGAACATATACAGCTTGTGTTACCTTCACGCTCACAAACTTGTATACGAATCAATCTGCCATTTGGTTCAAGTTTATATACATGCATATCGCTACTGTGTTCTTGTGTACACGATTAAGTTACATTTTGGGCAGTCAGTGTTTATGCATTGATATGTTTAGATAAATTTTGACCTTACAGACTTGTAACTACGTGCATGCAGTATTGCACTTTTTGTGGGTATGATGGAGTATATGAAGAGTTTATTTCTAAAATGGGATATATCAATTTAAAAAAGGTTAAACTTTTTCACAGTTGCAAATCTTTTAAGAAATAAAAAATGACAAAACACCTGTTTCTAAACTTATTTTTTTGCTTTATTGTATGCTTAAGAAGTGTTCAAGTATATAACAACTGTCGAAATTTACTTTGGGCAGACTGGACAGAGTGGGATTCAAAAAGTGAACAAAATGGCATATATCGCATTTAACTTTTGGACATAAACTCTTCATATTATCTCCGTTGTCAAAAGGCTTTTAGGATATTTTCAATTTGCTCTTTTTGCAGCTTGTATTGATGGAGTGCACACCCAGTGGAAGATCTTCATTTATCTGCCGAACGAGGACTCCGATCCACTAGAGAGACATACAATGTATGTACCATTATATGCCCTCCCCCCAAGAACATTCTCCTGCCAAATATGTATGTATTCACTACATTTCTGTACATTTTCTTGTCAAAGTGGTTTTTATTTGGAGCCCTGCATAACTACAGTGCGTCCCAAAATATTTTTTGTGCGAGTCTTTACGTCAGCATGGAAACACATACTACATACCATTTTAAAGCTTGGAAACTGAACTTTATCCCTGGTGAGTATTGGGTATAAAGAGTTTTAAAAAATAATTTGTGTTCAAATAAAAAGGCATGTTTAAAAACAAACTCAACTGATTTCAAGGACAATCGATGATGCGGTACATCAGATGCAAACTCGAGTCACACTTTGAGCGCGCTTTTTGAATAGGTACATACATTTTCAATATGTTTAAGCTGTAGTCAACGTGGATCAAAAAGAATGGGGAACACAGAAAGTACATGGCAACAAGATAGTCGCATTTTGAACAAGATGAACCATTTCCACATTTATAATACAAAGAAAAAGGGGAACTATAGTGCATGCCTTCTGATGTCAAATGTGGTGTCCCTTCCCAAGCCCCCCCCCCCCTATTAAATTTTTATGGGACATTCAAATACTGAATTAGTCACTTGAATTGTTTTATCTTCACTTTTTTTTTTTAGCACTTGAAGGATAGTCTGTATGTTGTTTGCTTGACTGACTGAATCAATTGTTTTTGTCTTCCGCTTCTTTTTTATATATCAAAAGGGCAGGAAAGACGAACTTCACTACCAAGTCCCAGTGTGTCATCTGCAACAGTCTTAATTTATCACCTCAGCTGCAGCCAATTTGATGATTCATGTGTAACCAGGTCGGGTTTCAGTACTTACTTTTTACCCGACAGGTTCCTTACTCCAGCATTCATTTCATAACTTTTGTAACTTCGTGTTTGTGTCGATGCACATGTGAGCAGCCATTGCGAATTTGTGATCATGCTTTTTGCCTAGCCTAGCACCCTCTCGCGGCCAACTAAACTTTTTTTTGCACAGCGCGCGCCGCCTAGAATTTTGCTAAACTATGCAATGGGCGTAGCGAGCAGGCGAGTTTTGCATTCCACCGCGCTTTGTTTAAGAGAAATAGCAGACATTCCGGGCGTTTCGGTTAGTTTTCTTGTAAGGCTAGCTGCGAAATAACTTTGATTTGTTGTTGCGTTCAAACCATCATTTTGCGAGCTCTTGCACTCTCCCTTATATCTGCAAATTTTGAGTGAGGCTCCCTGATAGCAGTTTCGTCTATTTTAACTGCTGATCTTCGATTTTGACATCGGACACGGAGAAGGCATGAACGTAGACCATCCCAAGTGGTGAGTAAATTCCTTGTCTGATATTTCACTTTTTATGCCTAAAACCTTTTTATGCCTAAAACCTTTTTATGCCTGAATCTTTTTATGCCATCATTTATGCAACATTCTGGTCTTTTGTATGCTTTGTTTATTGCCAGAAATTAAGGCCGTCAAAACGGACACGGCCGGAAATTTGCCTTGCGATCACGACTGATTAATAACTTTAGAAATAAATCTGTTGTCGTGATTTGCAAGTATTTTTGAGAATCAGGTTTTTCCCTAATGATTCTCTATTTAATTTTTGCATGAGTGGCATGACAACAAGGATTTCCGTTGACTGTATTTTATGCTTAATAGAACATTTCTTTAAACACAATTTCCTACTATTTTAATATTTTTTCGGCAATTCCGGAAAACAATGTTATCAGGTACTTTATTTTTGTGAATCTCCATTTTTCCTTTTGAAACAAAAACAAATTGGTAACTTCTGAGCAACACAAGTATGCAAACTTTAACTTAAATTTTAGTGTTGCTATAATATTTATGTTCACATTTATCATTTGAAATAGACTTTCCCAAATTTCTTTAAATTAAATATCGTTAATAATGTATTCTGATCTGGAAGTTATTCCCATAATTCATTAGTCATTTATTGTTTTTATGCATTTCAGATACTATCCTTGGAGTGACTTCATTAGCCAATTTCCCTTTTTGACTGTCGTTTGATATACCCAAAGTTCATATATATACTGTAATTCTTTTGTAAAATCCTAATAATTTGTATATATATTGTCTCATATTTGTGCTGTAAATAAAACATTTGATGTTATTGAGACAAACAGAAAACTTCGCTCCACCCAAATTATTTTTTAGTGGAACCACTCGGTTGTAAGGAGAGTGCCGCATTTTAAAACTAATAAATCCCACTCTCCCCGGTTACACATGTATTAATTATATATTTATATTTGTAAGTTTTTTATATGATTATGTTACTTTGGCCAGATTATGTTACAGAAAAAATTACTATACCGTATTTATTTAATTTCTAGACTTATGTACTCAATTTTTATAATTTATATGTGAATGATAACTTTTGAATCTTTGTCGTTTGTTCTAACTTGAGATTAAAAAAAAGTCCATTATCAATTCCACTTACTGTTATGTCAAACAATAAACCAACTGTAATTTAAAAAAAATAAGAAAGCTGTGGAATATCCTTTACCAGTTGTCATGTTCCATAAATAATTGAAATATTGTGCACCTCCCCCCCCCCCCCCCCCCCCCCCCCCCCCGGATCTTCATTTCCATATTGGTCGATTTTCCTCAAGTTTTCCTTGCTTTAATAAGGTCTTTGGTCTGTGTACATGTTAACTTCAACAGTTTAATCCCCTTTGAAAAAAAATCTTGCATCTACCGCTATAACCACTTGCATGTTCATGTACATGTATGTATGCCCATAAATCCAGCACATTTAATGTACAAACAAGATACATACACTATAAATTATCACAACAGCTACTACATCTTTGATTCAATTTTAGTTTATTCCTTTTATCATATTTCATCATTGTTTTGCCTTCCATAAAATGATTGAAGACCATTTTCTTTTTTATATTATACAACGCCCAAATAAACTCCTGTATTCTGATTGCTTGGTCATGTGCAGTTGTGCACTTAATAACTTGGCCCAAGAAGTTTACAAGTTACCAATCAGATGACAAGAGTTACTTTATTCAAGCATTGTATAAAACAATGTTTCAAATTCTAAGTGGAAAAAATAATTTCTTGAGGTGACCGATTGAACGTGCTATTCCACTCAGCTTTGCCTCGTGCAATGGAACATTTGATGTCAGCTCAAGCAATTATTCCTGCCATGGTACCCATAAACATTCGTTGTTTGTATAACGTGCAACAGATACAATATATCACATGTACAATATGAACTGAAAAATCCCATAACATTTCATTTCTTGAGTAATACTGTGTAAAATGTCATTCCAACCCACCACCATTTAAGGCACAGTACTGTTTGCATGTAATAAGTGGTACATAATCAACATAAGCACACATTGCATAACTACAGTCAAATTCAATATTTAATGTTAAATTAATTAATGTAAGTTTACCAGATTTCTATCCGAAATCGTATTTCAAGCAGAAACTGGCCATGAAGAATCACAACATGGAGAATTTAGGTAAGTAAGTAAATATAGAGTTGCTTAGAGTTTAGGCACTCTCCTGAAGACAGAGAATACTGACCGGAACGTCGAGTTTATACCTCTGGTTCTTTTCATAAACATTCTCTTAGTTTGAGAAATTATTCCCACATGGTGTTTTTGTTAACCTTTCATTATTAATATCTCCACCATGCACAGCCACAAATCTTATTTAAGTAAATATGCACATTCTATGACGGCGTGTCAAAGTATTGTGTGCTTTTTCATGTGCATTTAACAGCCAAGGTGTAATAAAAATAAAGTTGTTAAGCCATGTAATATGTAAAGTTACATTGATGACCTTTTGATTTACATTTCTTTCAGCCCCCAAATGACTTTGCAAGGCTCATTGCTTTATACATGTATGAAGACAAATTTCAAATTGGAATTGAAACTGGGGCTCTCAGTGCTAAGCCACTGTTTGACACTGTTGCCCTTTTCTTTTTAAACCCACTCCACAAAAGACATCACTGATGACCTTGGTTTAAGTGCCATTTTGAAATTTTCAATAAGGCCTATCAAATTATATCATGCACAGTCACCTGTACAATAAGGCATTCATTACCTGATCTTTCTAAATCCAGCACCTTTGTTGGATTTTAATTGATTCAGGACTGCATAGATTACTGTATTTTTGCTCCAAGTCTTTGGCATCCCATTTCTATTAAATTCCAACAAACACAGTGTTTATTTACAGCATATTGTAATTTTAAAGATTGAGAACGGTTGCCAACAAAATATCTTTGTGAGTTAAACATCGAAAACATTAAGCATGGCTAAGAATGTGCCGAACGTAAAATAAAATTTATTTAAAGAAAGGATGTTACAGTTCACCCAAATCGTAGTTTTAGGCATTGATAATGTAATTGTAAGACACTACTGTATTTGTAAACTATAAAGTTATTTTAATATAGACAATGTTCAACAACATTAAATAAATACAATGAATTTAGAGAAAATAATGAAGTTGGAATGAAGATAAGGATTGTTCCAAAAAGCTTCAGATAGAATGACTTGCTGTCATTTCAAGAAAATTACTCAACATCAAAAATGAAACCATTTACTGCCAGATTACAATTTTTATGTAAACATGTATTAATTACAGAACAATAAGTCTGTAATGAGCTGGAATAATGTGTGGAAACGGGAATGTGGAATGTACAGCCACATCTTTCTGATGCTCAAATCAGTGCTAGTTTGATCAGCTGAAATGTGACAAATTTCTGACAAAGGAATTATGCACAGTTTTTCAGTGTTCCATTTAAAGAAAATAAAGTATTTACTAGCCTTCGCCAATGTTAGTTCATAAAATAATGATAAATGCAGAAATGTTGGAATCAAAGACAAAATGGTGCTTTACAGGTATAATAAGAATTTTGTAATAGAACCAATATACATGTACATGTACCCAATAACACAAGGCATGCAGAATAAATTTCATAATGTGCAAAATAAATTAATTTCAAATTCTACAAGTACACACAACAGCTGACAATATTATAACACATAAATGGCAAACTAAAGCTAGGCTGCTGGGCAAGTGAACAGCGCCCTCACACGTGCTGAATGACATGCGATTCACCATCGGCGCCGAATTTTCCTCCGTTGTCAAGTTCAGTGGCCATGGTCTCCAGCTCCTGGAGTGTACGGGTAGAACGCTCGTACTTGTGCGCAACGAGCCGACGGTAGAAGTGCACAGCGAAGACGCAGAGGATAAAGAGCACGGGCGTGGCGATGGCCGTGGACGCGATGGCCGCATATTGGTAGTTATGGAACTTGACCCAGCAGAGCAAGATGATGTCCATCAGAAAGAAGATTACGCCCAGGATTGTGGAGAAACCCCAGGCCATCTCGATGTAGCAGTGCAGCGAGTCGTGCGGCGACTCGTTCACGGCATTGACGTTGTGGACGTTGCTGACGGCTTCGATGTTTGGCAGGATGCAGGTGCTGATCAGCAGGGCAAACATGTGGACGACGACCAGAAGCGTCGTGCAAACGCTGAATGCAATCATCAACCCCTCTGGAATGCCGGTCTCGGCAAACTGAATCTCAACCAAAGCAACCTGGAAGAAAAATCAAGAATTACTTAAATCACAAAAAAGATCAATAAAAAAAGGGCAATAAAAACAGATCATGATTGATTCAATTTGAGAATGAACCAAGTCTTTCATTCCCACCATTGATGAAGTTGTTATAATGTTTAAAAGATATATGTTAAATGTAATCATAATTTTCATGTGAATCTGCATTTTTCTTGTGAAAATCTTTGCATCAACTAGATTGAGCATGTTGGGAATGTTTCTCAGTCTAAACTTAGGTTTTTTTCTCCCAACTTATTTGCAACGACTGAGTAGCTTGAGTAACTCCAGCTGACATGCTCATATTCATTCTACATGTGAATGCATATGAGCGTGTCAGCTGGAGTTACTCAAGCTATGACTGAGCGTCATTGCAATTCTACCCGGAAGCAAACATATAGGCCAAGTCATTACTACATTTTTAAAAAATAAAATCTTTAAAAATATATATATATATTACCATCGCAAAACCTGCCAGTAATGCCGATGTCCTGTTGGAAGCCTTGAGCTTGGCCCGGCTAAGATACAGCCGCCGCCAGGACAGCGCCTGGACCGAGTGTTGGTTTGACATCTCGGTCACATAGGAGCGGTAAACCCAGTCCGAGTAGCTGCTGTTGGGCTGAATCTTGGCGGGTTGTTGTGGGGCCGTGGCGGGGAAATGCACCGTTGAGCGCCGCTCGTTGTCAGACTCGGTCTCCGGAACCGAGTCAACACGTAACCACCGAGCCGCCAGGGCGACTAAATGTTTTCCTGTAGTAACAACGGCTGACCTGAATCCTACGGTCTGTTGACTTTATCAGATGGTGTCGGTTTCAGTTTACTGACGCCGATTTTTATCTTTTATGACAAATGAAGTTGAACCAAACCCACTTTTCGCAGACTAAACAGTACGTGTATCACGCAACATTTTGGCTATCTCGTTCCCAGTACAATTTAAAACGTCCCTCAGTATTAATCACACAATTTGGGTAAAACGTGACCTATTTTCTATGTTTAATGATAAAAAAAAAAAATTCGCTTTGAAAATGCTGTTCTCTGAAGAAGGAAAACTAAATATAAATGTGCCAGATTTTCAAGACACGTAACGCTGATTTTTCAATTTTTTTATTTTGAGTACGAAGCAAAAGTTCAAGGTAAAGTCTGAGTCCTAATTCAAATGTGCATGGTTTTGCGATGCAAGGTCGATAGGGTACAGACTAATGTCAAAGAAAACCTTCTTTTGAACAAACTGTTCCATTCAAGGAAATGGTGTCGGCTAATAATCGTTGAGCGTTCATTGGATAGAATACGTTCGCTGGTGACCCGGGGTAAATATTTCTGTGCGCGTTTACGGTGACTGATACCCAGAACCACTCTTGATAAAGAGCTGTGGGTACGAGCGTGAAGGGCACCGTGTGGTCTACGTGACCGACCGTGCTCGGTTGTGTTTTTTTGTCTCAAATACTCAACTTGTTTCTCAGCTTTATGAAAAGATGAACTAAAAATGGCGTCGTCAAAAGACTCCGGAAGAAGTTTGGTACGTTTTGAGTAGAAATTGCAACTTCTAATGTGTCATTATGGCTTACAAACACTGTTTGATGGTGGTGGTTTTGGTGAATGAAGTTGACAGCAAAAAATGCGCACAAAGTCACGGATAACCTGCCCAGTTTCCGGACATGTTGCATAACTTGGTTTCTAAATTTTCTATTTCTTGAAATGACAATTATTCTCAATAGTGCATTAAGGTAGCGTAGGAAAGAATGTAGACGTTTTGTTTGTATGTGGGGACCCCTGAACACTTTTTTCGCTGTTGCTGTTTTAAATTTTTACACAAGTTGACTGTCGCGTCATCGGACATCGCGTAGTGCGCACTAGGGCCTAACCCCATACCAATTTACAAAATACTGGACTACCTCAGAGGCTCCGTATTATCAGCCACACATGCTACATATGGCCTGTGCGTTGATAGTCCCCTTGCTAGGCCGCCGAAAATCAATTTAAGATCGAAATTTAGCCTACTACACAAGTTCAAGTTGTTTGAATTTTTGTTCAAACTTCAATTCAGACTCAGAGATTTTTTATACGCCTATTGATTTCTGTCCCATCATGCCCATTTTAAGATTGGATTAGTAGGCTTCCAAGTCGCCCTGTTTAATAGCCCAGGTTGGTCTCCGTTGTGTACACGCAACGGAGTCCAGGGTATGAATTTCTCCTGCCAAAGCGAAAAAAATTATAACACATTTTTCGCATACTTTTTACCTGACGGAGGAAGCTGAAATTCACTTACATATTCCTTGTGTCCAGAATTGTGCCTGCGCTGGGTTTAGAAAAGGCAAATATGTCTGCTGGCGGCATGTTTACCGAAAATAAACCCCATTTCCACGCTTTCCTTGCAAACATTTTCAGTACGAACTCTCCGTGTGAAGATTACGCGCGCGTGCACGCACACCTAGCACGCTGCCGCCATGGCAGCAAATGGCACGCGCATGTACGTCTTCATGCGGAGAGTTCCTACTGAAAATGCTTTCAACGAAAGCGTAGAACTTACGGTTTATTTTCGGTAAACATGCCGCCCACAGACATATTTGCCTTTTCTAAACCCAGCACAGGCACAATTCTGGACACAAGGAATATGTAAGCGAAATTTCAGCTTCCTCCGTCAGGTAAAAATATTTCAAAAATGTGTTTTAATTTTTTTCACTATGGTGGTAGAATTTATACCCTGGACGTCAGTCGTAATGCAATGAAGACGTCGTCCAACCTGGGCTAAGTGTTTGAGTTCACTTTATTTATCATGGCCATCTTAATTTGGGTTTGTCTTGTTCATGTTTTTATCTTTTTATACCTGTTCCACTTGCACTAGTAATATTAAACTGAGTTTCACTGTCCTATTCTCTGTACTGTATTTTGTTGTATGAAATCTTGGCCAAATAAAAAATAATAATATTTTTTTTTTGTCACTTGAAGTTGAAAATAATCCCAGCTATAGTATGACTGCTAAATAGTAAAAAAAAAAACCCATTGAATTCTGTACCGTCAGAGCTCTAGTTATCTAGTAATCATTAACCATTTTGCGGATACCGCCATCTTGCTTGAAATCGTGATTGTGCAATTGCTCCGGGAGGGGGGGGGGACACGAATGTCGGTCACTTTGGCACCTAGCCAACTTGGCACCTTGCCAACTCGGCACCCAAATGTTGCCTCTTTCTCACGATTTCCAACTCGGCACCTTACCAACTCGGCACCTGACCTCCTGAAACCATGATCCGTCCCTAAATAATCAGTTATTCATGTAAAAAAAAATTTTTTTAAACAGGATTCCCGCTACACACAACGTACATGCATACGCGTAATCCGCTGTTTCCGCACTTTTTTTATTAGAAAAAGAAGAGTACTTGACAAGTACATGTATACATCTTCTATTAGATGAACAATGATTTGATTTAGAAACATTTCGAATTTTGTTTGAAAATACTTTATGTGAGCAGTATCGATACAATGTGCATTCTTTCCTATCGGAGGTGCCGAGTTCGTCAGGTGCCGAGTTTGTAAGGTGCCGCGTCTGCTATGTGGCGAGTTGGTTTTTGTACAGTTACCAAGTTGGTGGGTGCCGAGGTGGCTGGATACCGGTGGCACACGTGACCCACACTGAAAATCCGTACGTAAAAAAGGCATGAGGAAGGCCAGAGCTGTTCTGCAAAAAATTCTAATTTTTCATTTGAAAAGAATACAATTTGGATACAGAGGTTTAAAAACTGATAAATGGGACATTGAGCTGTCCAAGGTGCTTCAAATAGTAGGAATTTAAAACCTATACATGTAGTTTTGCAATATGTTATGTGAAATTCTGTAACTGAGACATTGAAAAAATGCTTACAACCTTCATAAAAATAGTTTTTGGGTTTTTTTTAACAATTTTTTAACGAATTTCAAGTGTAAAGTGCAGATTTTAGATAACTGAAATCTGATCCCTAAGAATCTGAATTGTATTGACGTTGCATTGTGAAAACCTTGTTTCAGCGTGTGAAAGCGAGGCGTCATTACAATGAAGGGGAACATCAGGATGACGAGATCGAAGGCAAGAGAACCTGGAATCTGGAGAAGAAAATCAATGATGAGAAGTTCACTTCCAAGTGGGTGAAGGTCATGAACGGAGAAGGTTTGTTGGTTGGAATAGTCTGAAATACTTGGGAACTCTCATGTCTCTGTATTTGATGCTTGCATGAATTCTTTTTGCTATTACAGGTTGTCCTACAAAAAAGCTAACGGTTGAATCGGGCATGTTTTCTGAAAAGTGGGGGTAGTATTTAAAATCACGTCTAATGTATTGCTGAGTAGAATAATTGGTCTTCCAAATGCTTTTTAGTTGGTTTCATTAGGATGTTCAATATATATAGCAATCACTACATGGGGCATGAAAAACCATTTGGGCCACTTTATTTTATTTATCAAGTTTACAGTTTGAAGCCGGTAGAATAAGTGGCACGTTACTCGTGAACAAAGGAAGTAAATCCTTTGTGTGTTTCTCTAACTGCACTTTCTCACCATCAAGGAAAGTGGCTCAAGATAATTTTCAATCGAGTTCGATGAAGCATAGCGTTTATTCCAATGCATCGATTTGAATGAAATAAAGTTTGTATGGTAGATTGGTTATTTGACTTTAAGAGGTGATTTTAAAATATTCCACAACCGTATGCAATATACCTTTATTAGTTGGTTTTCAAAAATTGACTGTTGGGTTTTTGTGGGACAACCTGTACTCGATTTCACTCTGAAAAATAGATTTGTTTTTCCATTTCTGCTTTCCTAGCAATATAATAGTTGTACAGTTTTGAACATTTTTAGTTATTGCATTATTTCTTTACCAAATCCAACTTGTTTGCAGCCCAGAAAATACTTCGACTCTCACAGGGTGGATTCATTTGTGAGCAAAATGAAAGACGCCAAAAATCAGAAAAAATGTTTGGAGGTTTTTTGGAGACGAAAAGTTTGAGTTTTGTAAGACAAAACATACAAAATGAAAATTTGTTGGAAGAATTTTTTTTCACTACTGAATGGTCTATTTTTGTGAAAATGGTGGACTGTATTAGTCTAGTCTTAAGCTTTAAATTAAGTCATGTGGCTGCAATTTAACTAATTACTTTTTGGCAATTAAGCAATTAAATTACTTGCTGGGTTTTTTGTGTGAAAATTGATTGTTTCTGTTTGACAGATTTCACCATGAAGTTTTTGCAAGAAGGGGGCTTTGATACTCCAATGTTGTTCAAGAGCACTGAGGGACTTGGTATCAAGTAAGTTAGTTGCTTTAACGGCATGTAGGATCTTTTGCAGTTGCCCAAAACATTACATTCAAAATTATTATCAAAAATCTTATTTAGGTTTTGCTGTTAACACCCCGTGAAATTATCACGTCTGGCTTGCTGGCATTTAGAAGAAATCAAGAAATGTGGTGATTTCCAACGATCAGTCAATTTATTTATTTTTATTAGAGTAAAGAATTATGTTTTGTGATCAAAAGGTTGTGTATGGTTATTCACTGTTTTCCAAAAAAACCTGTAATATCCCCTGAGCTGTAACTTCACCAGGTTAGGTTTTGAACATTCTTCTTTGGATTTTGAGTGGTGTTAATATTGGAAATGAACAAAATGCTTGAAAAGCAAATGAAGCATTTAACAGGAGGACACGGTTTAAAACAATGATTGAAGAGTTAGGATTTTAAAAATTCTTATGTCACTATCATTTGCAAGTATGGAATTTGTACCCAGTTTTGTTTTAATTTCACTTCATTTTTCTCTGCACAGGGTGCCTGGCAAGGATTTCACAGTCAATGACGTGAAGTTACACGTTGGTAAGTGAAGAATTACATTTGAAAACTGGAAATGAATAAGAACATACAAATTGTGGTCACCATGCACAAGTGTCCCCTCAATGTTGTAAAAGAGAGACAGACGTTCAAATGAAGGACCACTTGGGCACTGTCTTGCATGCAAAACTTGAAATGGGCAGATGGGGTACAATCACTTGTTTCTATAGACGAAACCTGCACCCTTCAATACTTAAAAACCCAGTAGCACCTGAGCTACATTGTATTACTCAGTGTTAATTCACTGAAGACTTAATAAAACCATATAGTGCTCAGGCGGTTTCGGGCACTGCATTGATTAATAGGCAGGGTGATTTAGGTGCTACAATGACAATATGCTTAAAAGAACCCAGCCACAATTACTCTATGAGGCCTTGAAGACATCACAAAAGTACAGACTTTTCTACCCAACAAAAAAAGCCTCCAAATCTGATAGATTTTGAAGGATCTTGAAGGATTAGCGTTTAACCCTGACCCTGCCAGATGCATCACAGTGCATCAGGTGTACATGTCTGTGGAACCTTGCTGCATTGAGCCATCAACACCAGTGCATAAAAGTTCGAGACAATGAGAGCTAGTCCCATTGAACAATGCCACAGTTGTATCCTGCTGCATTCGCTGACCACAGACTCTGAAGCATTTTGGCCTTGAGATTTTTGACCTGATGGATCTTGCTACACTGATCAGGCTTGTTAATTTGACAAGTGTTGCAGGGTTTCTAACCAAACTACCCTGGAGGGTTGGGGTTAGTGAATGTTCCCTCTGATTGGTTGCAGGGAGTCGGAGGCAGGTGGACGTGATGGACGTCCACACCCAGAAGGGTGTTGAGATGAGCATGGCCCAGTTTGCCAAGTACTACGAGAACAAGGAACGAGAGCAGCTCTACAACGTCATCAGTCTGGAGTTCAGTCGCACCAAGTTGGAAGAATTCGTGGAAGCTCCAAGCATTGTAAGATGACCATGCGCATGTTTTGCTGTACAAATATCCCATTCACTTGTTTTGTCGGGTTATTTGATTTTCAGTTTTTGGTATATTGATATAGCTTACATTAATAGTTTTGAAATTATTAATACCGACTTGTGAGAGACACTTCATTTGTTTCTGTTATTTTTTAATCAGTTTGGGCCGGGATTTTTTTGACATTGACCAGACGCAGGCGTGAGATTATTTTCATGAACCTCGATGCCAGACGGGTTCAGGCTGTCATCTGCGGGTAGCACACCCTGATATTACTGGCCTCGCTCGCTGCGAGCGGGTCGCAGACAGATTCTGGCCTTGCTCTTTGCGTGTTTATCTGTCATCCATTCCGAATACCTCAAAACCTTTGCGTGTATACACGTCATCCCACGTGAACCGGTTAACTTTGTATCCCCCACAAATCAAGTTTTTTTTAAATGAGTTGCTTTGGATTTTCTTGTGAATTTTCCAGGTTCGTCATATTGACTGGGTTGACATCGTCTGGCCACAACATCTCAAGAAAGACCAGCGTGACAGCACCAACACTCTAGCCGAGATGAAATACCCTAAAGTGCAAAAGTAAATGCACTCTGTTTGTTTGTTACTTTGTTTGTTTGTTCCCTCAATGAGTTTGTTTAGTTCCTTGTATGAAATGTAAAAATCTAGTTTAGCAGCCCTCTTTGAGGTGTTTTTGTTATTTTTTCAGTAAGCAATAAATGCATTAAAGTGTTATTCATGCTCATCCGTGCTGAACAAAGGCATGTGCCTCAAAAATGACTGCAGTGTTAAAGGATCTATCTTTATTTCTGGTCAAACGATCACCAAATGGTTAACATTGGTAAAATCTCTTTGTTGTTTTGTTTTTAAATTGATTTACACTGACCTATAAAAAGGTTAGTTGTTGCTTGAAATAAAAGCAAAAGCAAAGTTAACTTTTGATTTCGGTATTATTGTTTTGCCAGTGAAATTTCTGACATTGGCAGGCTGTTTAATAGTGAGGTTTATTTTCCAATTTAAAACTGAAGTAAATGTGAATTAGCCTGGAATTTTGCAGTTGAAATTTCAAAGTAGTTAAACAGTTCACCACAAGGTGTTTTTTTTTTTTTTTAACTGCAGGACGCATTGCAGCTGCGGCGTATCGTAGACATGAGACATGTCGCAGCGCTGCGATACATTTTTAGTTAGGATGAGTTTCATGAAATCGGGTGCTGGCTCTTACAAGAATGAGGCCACATCCAAATCTGTTGCCTACGGGTATTGGCTATGTCTTCACCTATTACAACTACATGGGGCAACTTAGCCATAGACATAGCCATAGCTCTGAGAGCCAATTTTATCCTAAAACTAACTTGTATCATTCATAACAGGTACTGCTTGATGAGTGTGGCTGGGTGCTACACAGATTTCCACATTGACTTTGGTGGCACTTCGGTCTGGTACCACATCCTCCATGGTAAGAAGGTGAGTATGTTGTGTTGTAATTTTTTTCTTTGCCTTGTAAAGATCTCTAAGAACAGATAAATATTTCATATTTCATTTATTTCATTGGTCTCTATGCTGTATGCAGTTTTCATGGCTCTGCTTACCATAGGCCAAAGAAGTTCAGTTAACAACAGCAGAACATCTGGCACTAACAGCAAATTTCAACTGTAATAGCAAGGACGTCTGTTTTCGTGTGCATGTGTACATTTTCTGGCTTTGGTGCTTTTTTAATAAAGGGTTCATGCAGAACGTCTGTGTTTTTTTTTCTCAAACATTTTGTTGGGTGTTCCCTTCTTTAGGTTTTCTGGTTGATTCCGCCCAGCGAAGACAATCTGGAACTGTACGAGAACTGGGTCTTGTCCGGCAAACAGTCAGACATCTTTCTGGGCGACAGAGTCCGAGAGTGCACCAAGATTGTCCTAGAGGCCGGCTACACCTTCATGATACCGAGTGGTAAGAGCACCCCTATAGACTCTGCGCTCACTGTGGTGAGCCGGGGGAAAAATACGGTATCGAGGAACACTTCATTTCACTGGTTCAGTGGTTCATTGTTCTTTACCAGTTAGCACATTAGTTACTGTTGTGCCATAAACCACCTTGCCTATTACTCCCTGTAGCACCTGAAACCGCCCAATCTCTCAATGGTTTTATGGATTCATAAGTGAATAAGGACAAATAATACAATGTAAAACAGTTTTGAATGGGTTAATGTGTGTAATTAATGATAATCAAAGCATTAGATCCCATTAGAGGGAGGCTCTCAGACATTCATGCTACAACCAATATAATTGCATTGTGGAGGCTGGTTCCCACTCCATATTCATTATATTCTAGACTATGATTTGAGGAGAACCAGCCTAGAATTAAGAACGTGTATCTTTTTGCTCAAAGTTGTGTATAAATTTTTCCTAGGTAATGTTGACAGATAATTTTACTGATGTACATGAGCGTAAGGGTATGGTGACTTTCTGAACTCCCTTAGCGTTTGTTCCAAAACAAACTTAAAGATTTCCTTCGTTCTCCAAATTCCACCCGAGACAAATTCTTTGAAACTTACAATTCATTCATGGTGGCTTGGTTCTTCCTTCTTCAATTGTGCAAAATCCTCTAATACTTCACTCTACACTTTTAAGGATCTTCGAGTTTTAGGGTAAAAGGTACAACCGCTCTCTTGATTTATGAAACATTTTATGGAATCTAGGTGTTTTGTCACATCTGTTTTTCATTTCCTCAAGATGATGAGTAGGGACGCATTTGAGACAATTATATTGACCCAGGTTCTTCACAGATTTGCAAGTGGGCAGATTTTTAATTCGGCCTTTGCAAGGTTAAGCACAGGTTCATTGTAACACTGCAGTGTCTGTGTACATTTTGATTCAGGTTGGATTCATGCCGTGTACACACCACAAGACTCCTTAGTGTTTGGGGGTAACATCCTTCATAGCTTCCATATACACCGTCAGCTACGAGTAGCCCAGATTGAGGACAGAACCCATGTAAGTTGAGAGCATTCCTTGACAAAGCAGTCACCTCTAACTAAATGCTAATCCTCAAAAGGTATTTGCCTCAAAGCCATGTTGAACACAAAATGAGACAAACAGTTGTCAAAGTGAGAAGCTGCCCAATGCAACAAGCTCCAACAGGACGACTACCCCAAGGCCAAACTGCCTCGGAGGCTGAGGCTGCTAGCCACCACAAGATCCAGCAGCAACATTGTTCAACAACACTAGCTTTCATTGTCTCAGAATTGGCAGTTTATGTATTGGTGTTGATGGCCCAGTACAAGAAGATCCCACAGACTGTTACACCTGTTGCACCTTGTTACATCTTGCAGGGTATTGGTTAAGCGTTCCATTTCCAATAATTGGAGAATCAATTAGAGAATATGTTGGCCTTCAGTAGCAGACATCTTTGTTTTTTCTTAAATTCAGGTGCCCTTTAAGTTCCGCTACCCTTTCTTCTGGGAGATGAATTGGTATGCCCTAGAGCGTTACGTCCACACCCTGACCGGCAAATCCTATCTCGCAAAGCCCAAGGCAGAACCATCGGTGGGTCCTCCAGCTCCAGAGAACTCTGACGAGGGCACAAACGATTCATTGGACGTGGAGAGGGAAGTGAAGACTGAGGATGCTGGAGAGGAGATGGAGGTAGAGAAGAAATTCCATATCAAGAAAGAGCAGAGTGATGATGATGCGTACTCGGAGGCGGTAGTCAAGGATGAGACTGCATCGCTGACCGGAGACATAGGAGATGTTGCCTCCCCAGCAGACACAGACAAAACAGAGGAGATGGACTTGGAGAAGTTTGACAGAACTGAGATATCGGCAGATGACCAAATTGGTGGCAGCGATGGGATGCTACCCAACGGGGATCACCATGCTTCAAGTCCCTCAAAGAGCCCTCCCAGGAATGACACCTCTGACATGCACAGTGTGAAAATTAAATCTGAGCCCCTGGACGAAAACCAGAGTGATGCAGACGGATCGGAACACTCGTTGAAGCCAGTGGTTAAGCAGGAGCAGGAAGAGTTCAAAGTAGAACCCAACCAGGAGGAAGGCACATCAACTGAGATACAGAGGCGATCCCATGTCAACTTGTGTCGACACGAGTTGATCGGTTTGAGAGTCCTCCATCACCAGCTGGAGAATCTACCCCTGGGTAAGCGGAGTGTCCCCGAGCTCATCACAGACCCAGACGGTTTGCTACAGCATGCAAAGGTAAATTCCTTTTGCACAGATTCAGGAAACGTCTTTCACCAGAAATATATGACAGACAAGCAAACGTTAATGGAACTTAATTCTATCCCACTTAAAGATAGTAAATTTGCAGTCGATTTTGGACAGTTTCAAACCATTAACTGTACTTGGCAAATCAACAAAGGATTTACTCTGTCAAAGATTGCACCTGTTTGTGTACGTAGATCCAAATTGACAGTGCTTATTCCTTTTTATCCAAGCAGGTTTTGTGCCAAATTTTACTCCCAGCCGTTTCCTTGACTTGCATCCCACCCTCCAGAGGATTATTGACTGTTATCACCTTATCTTTGGTTCCAGGATATGCTGGCTGAGCATCTGGAAGATTCCCAGGTGATGGCTGTCACGGGAATACCCGTCCTGAAATGTTTAAAGTCTACAGACCCCAAAATACATGTAAGTCTTATTCACGGCTGTTCCCTGAATCAAGCACAGTTTGTCCACTCACTGTCTGAGTCACTGAGTATAGATCATGTCCTCAACTGTGACTTTCTGGTTCAACTCAACTAGGAAAGCCTTGTTCTGTTTGCATTTTCAAGAAGCATCAAGCCCCTTGTAAAGTAATAGGCCTCTACCTTCCTCAGTAAGGAGAAATGTGATCTAGTGGTTATGGTTTGTGACTCGTGATCAGAGTGTCAGGGGTTCGAATCCGGCTACTCTACTGACTCTCCACCCAAGACTGTAAATAGATACCAGCATTAGCTGGGGAGTAACCTGCCATGGACAGACATCCCATCCAGAGGGGAATATAAATATTCTCAGTTGTTTCATGCCCAAAAAAGAGATAAATGCTGGTCTGACGGGCAATATTGGCTTGTGACAGACTTAACATTTTACTGTGCCTTCCTCAATCCTGCAATGTTCTCTAAAGCCTCCTGGTGCATTTTGGAGAATCAGTCAGAGTTAAGGGTCAGTGCATTATGCCATCCCCCGATTCACCCTTGGGGTCTTCACTGACCAGTAGATGGAATTGACGTGTCTGTCTCACTGTCAAAAAAACTGCACTCGGAGTAAAGGGTTAATGAATGTGTGCTACTACGTCTTTTTTGCCATTGCAGAAAACCCCAAGACACAAACTGTCCCTAGCCATGCGTCCAGTCAGCAAGCGCCTGAGCAACGGTATCCGACGGCGACGGACGCGCTGCCGGAAATGTGAGAACTGCCTGAGCGACGACTGTAGGGATTGCCACTTCTGTAAGGACATGAAGAAATACGGCGGTCCTGGACGGATGAAGCAGTCCTGCGTGGCTAGACAATGCCTATATGTGAGTGTTCGTAGCTCCTTGCCGTTCCACTGGAAGTTTTTACCTGCCAAAATTTCATGCGATTTACATTGCTTACGACTGGTCCTAAGCTGCTTATTGCTTGACATATAAATTTGCTGAGCAACAGTTTCATATATTTTATATTACTGTGTGTCGTTACAGCCCATGCTGCCCCACAATGCCGTATGTGCCATCTGCACCCGGGAGGACCGGCCCGGGTCATCAGGAGTCAAAGGTGACTCTGAGGTCAGCTCCCTGATGGAGTGCCACCAGTGCTTTGAGATCGTGCATCCCGAGTGTCAGGCTAAAGAGTTGGCACCAGAGTACGAGGGAGTGATCAATGAGGATCTGGCCAACAGCTGGCAGTGTCCCAAATGTGTGGCTAAGAAAGAGACACAGGTGGGTAGACATGTAGTCCAAACACTGGTTTACGAAACCCTGGTTTTGTCTTCGTCTCTGGCCCAAGATTAACCCTCCCTCTCTGGCTGGCAATTTCAACGAGGCCAGCCCAGCAGTCAAAATAAATCAAGTTACTGTTTTTAACAGTTGAGTGCTCCCTGCCTTCATATAGCAGGATTGACTGGCTGTGATTGTTATGAAACCTGATTTAGCTAATGCTTTGACTGCTTTTGTCGATGGAATTTGAATAGTGATGGTGCTTGTTGAAATATGATCTGACTGTTGGTGACTAGCCTGTGTGAAAGGCATGGCAGGGGAACAGGATTGAATTTTTGACTGTCTGTGACTGATCAAACAATAGGAGGGTTAATCATGACAATTTAGGATAAAATGACCTGAATAGCGTAGAATTGGGGAAGGTTTGGCTTGTTACAAACTATCATTTTTTTGTTTCTTTTGACAGGGTGAAGATTGTGAAGAGTCCAACCAGAATGAAAAGCCAACCAAGAGGAAAAAGGTAAATTAATAACTAAACAAAAATAATTCAATCATAAGTAAATAAAAACTTCAAAAATTTTGGTAGCCCAATTGCACTTAGTCCAATGATAAACCCCAAAATTAGAGAAACGTTGGGGTGAAGCAATTGTTTCGCCTGTTTGGGGGTATTTTTACCATACCCTGCCCAATTTGAAGGGAACATTTTTGGCGAGCTGCGAAGCAGATGCGAGCCTATGTAATACCAATTTCCGTCCGTCTGTCCGGGCGCCCGTCCGTCCGTCCGTCCGTGCGTGCGTCCGTCCGTCCGTCCGTCCGTCCGTCCGGCCGTCCGCGTTTAGATAAAAATGTTGAAGTTTTTGGTTTTAGTTAACTTGGGGAAAAAAATTAAATACAGTTGTCAGGTATCATCTCTAGGCCTATAACTTCAGTTAGGTTCATATCATTGCAGTAAATTTTATGATTTTATTGAGGAACTTTAATTCAAGGAAATGTTAAAGTTTTTAATTGTTACATGTACATGTATACTGGTATAACATGTACATGTGTGTATACCGGTATTACATGTACATGTACACTATGCATTTTGGGGATGTGCATGAGCTTCTGGTTTGATCTTTTAGTTTATGGGGTTGGAGTAGGGATGGGGTAGGGGATGGTGGATTGGGGTCGGGGTGGGGTATAGGGTTGGAGTTAGGGTTTGTGTGAGTAGGATGAGTAGGGGAGCTATAGGATGGGGGGGGGGGGGGGGGAGAGGGGTTGGAATACTGGGTTTTGGTGGGGTGGGGATTTGTAGGGGTGGGGTGGCATACTGGGTTTTGGTGGGGTGGGGATTTGTAGGGAGAGACAGGTAAGGGGAGACAGGTAGGGAGAGGATGGGCATGGATGTAGGGGTTGGGTTAGGAGGGGGTTGGGCAGGGGTCGGGATATATGATCGGAGTAGGGGTTGGGTTGGGGATGTGTAGGGATGGGTTGTTGTAGGGGTTGGATAAGGGGAGGGGGCAGTATATAGGGATCAGAGTAGGGTTGCATGGGGTCAGGTGGGGATGTATGGGTGGGGGAATGGGGTGGGCGGGATATTGGAATTCGAGTAAGGGTTAGGGTGGGGATATGTAGGGGTGGGTAAGGACAGATAGGGGAAGATAGGGTAGGTGGGTGTAGGGGGTTGGGGTAGGGAAGGGTATGGGTCGGGAGGGGGAAGGAGATAGGGATTGGAGTTTGGGTGGGGTTTGGATGTGTAGGTGATAGGGTGGGGATGATTAGGGGAGGATGGAATGGGTGTGGGTAGGGGGTTGGGTGGGGGAGGGGCGGGTTGGGGATGGGGTAAGGTTTTGGGATGGGGTAAGGTTTGGGGGAGGTGGTGATGGTGCTGTGTCTACATGTACATGTATACCCATTCTTGTTCTGCATTTGTGGCGACTACACAAGAGTTTTCCCATGGTAATACAAGTATGGGGAGCAGAAGACACTGTTGGGGCTGCAAAAATCCACAACTGGGTCCTAATTACCCTAACAATGGAAAACTCCCCCATAATACAGTGACGGCTAACCTATATACACATGTATTTATTAGGTAATCTGTTGACTTTTTATGTTGACATTTAAAAACTGACCCCTACACCTAGGCACATCAACAAGAATCCTGATCCCCTTCCATCATGCCCATCCCCAACCCTACCTTTAGCCTCCCTTCCTGCCTTGGACAGCGAGCCATGGCGGCTTCGCCGTTCTAGTTTTCAAGCTGAATCAAAATATAATGCCTAAAATCTCAAAAATTTCTTGTTCTGTACGCAGGAGGAGTGTAGTGCAGAAGACAAACCACTGGACAGACCAAAAAGGGTAAGAACTGATAACTAAATGTGAAGAAAATATCAATGAAAGGCTGTTCTATTATCACTTTGTTAGCAGTGTTGAAGGCCATCAAGTCCTCAAAAGGGCAATTTATTAAATTTGGATGTACTGTGAATGTGATACACCACTAATAATGTGACATCTAATGCCTATGCCCTGACCTGTTTGCATCCTGTCTCGTCCTATTCCCTCATTTCCTTCCCCCTTCCCCAATCACCCCCATTGGCCTGAATTCTACCCTACTGCTCCCCAAGTTTTTTTTATGATTGTGTTGTATATAAAGTTTCTAATTGTGTAAAGTGATATGTTTTTTGCTTGGTCATAATTTTGTATCATTTTCAATGTATTGTATTTTATACCTATTTTTAATTAATGTACCCTGATAAATCAATTTTCATGTAAGTTTTAAGCATGACAATAAATGAATCTTGAATCTAGAAACAATTACAGACCAAATTAAGGTACCATCGCCAAAACGTCCTTGTACATGTACATCATGTGGTTGGAGATACGTTGGAGTTTACGGAAATAACGGAATTGCCTACAAGTCAATCACAAGTCCTCAGTAGTCAATTATAAATCCTTACAAGTGAATTGCAAGTCAATCACAAGTCCTTACAATTACAAGTCCTAACAAGTCAAGACTTTACTGATTGACTTCTGATTCAGTGGTAATGCACTTGTGATGGTAACACTTACTAAATATTGAGGAATAAAAGAAAGCAAAAGAATTGGCACACAAGATTTGTGAAAGATGAGATCGGTTGTGGTGTGTAATTGCCCATTTTAAATTGTGATTTTTTAATTGCTGTAACTCAAGTTGCGTTTTCATATTATTTCCTAGGGTCGACCGCCATTGCATCGCGCAGAGGTCAAGTCAAGCAGTCGGGTAAGGCCGAGGCTCCAAAACCGACCCTCACCTAACAAATATCTCCGCTAGGCAACACGCTTGTCAAGTGGGATATTTCACTGGTTGTGTCCTATTTGGACATCGTGGCTGTCTTCCTACTCTGGGCTCCAGGCGCTTTTGTCCTTGAGCAAGTTACTTCGCAGTGATTTGATCGGATAATTTTAATGGGCAGAATTCCAATTGGAATGATCCAAGGATTTAACTCTCTCTCTAAAAATACAGAGAACAAAACTGGTTCCATGGCCAACTCTTCGGAGAGTTGATATCTTTGTAAAGGGCTCCCTCTTCATGCCACTCATGGAAAGGGTGACTTTCAAAGAGTGGCAGTACCTGTTGTGTAACATGTACATGACTTCTGAAATGGCACTCCTTTTCAAGGATGATAGTAGAACTGAAATAAATATTGGGCACTTTCCTGTAATATTTGGAGAAGAGACAATCTGTAAACCACAAATGAAAACATTATCGCGGTTGCACTATACTTCTTTGCATTGTTGAACACGTCCGTAAAAGGTAGATTAGACCATTTGTGATTTATGCATGTTGTTCTTCTTTTGAAGCAAAAAAAAGTGCTTAAAATCTAAAAGCGGGTGATTTACAACTGACCTGATGAACTTTTAGCTCTGAGAGTGCTGTATATTTTGAGAAGACCATATTTTTTAGTTCAAATGTTGTCGAGTCATACATGTATTTTGAATTGCGTCTCTCGTGACACAATCCTGAAATCAGCATTCGGGACATCCCAATTCAGCAGATTGTACTTCCATGATGCCACACACTGAACCTTTAATTTAAATTTAAATTTCCAAGAGTGTGTCATTGACACATCTTTGGAAATGACCTCGTATTGTTTTCTTCAAAATGACAGCATGCCAGACGGAATCATTTCACAGGGAGTGTAGTATCATTACTACGTTTAAACCAATTAAGCCTTTTAACAATAATTTGGGTCGGTTACTTTTTTGATAGCTGCAAATGGTCCACTCTACCTGTAAATGTGAGGCATGCGTCCGCAAAGTGTGCTCACTTCTGTTTGTATCCTAAAATGACACAAACAGCGCCCTCTGTTGGTGAAATATTTCCTAATAAACACTTTTCTTTAATTATGTCGCCCTATGTCCTCTGTGCGCAAACAAGCGAGGGCCCTTTTGACCACTATTGTGAGCCCAGTGGACGGGACATACTGCTTGCGCATTTGGTGCAAAGAATGCATGACTAATTTTATTTTTTGAATGTGTAAATAGCCAGTGTCTTCACGTGAGCGTCGGGTTTGTGTTGGCACTGTGTTCAAATGTCCCTCCGAGCTCCCAGTGGTCTCCCCCAACTCTCCTTTTCTTATCGTTGAGGGGGTGCTTACGTACGGCATCCATAGGGCTTCATAATGTACAAATTTGTGTACATGTATATATTTTCACACTGTAAAGTTCATCTTCCAACGTTTGCGTCGAGGCTAAGAACAAAAGTTGGATTGAATGTTTGTATAATTGGTAGAATGGCATCCGTGTTTGGTTTGCAATATTTTGAAAACGATGAGTTTGAATTTTGGCCAGTATTAGATTTTATGCGGATTACCATTTGGATGCCAGAGAGCTACTACTTAACGTTGGTAAAATTAATAGCAATATGGCAGATGCCAAAGTATGAGCTAAACTTGTAAATAGTACATCACATTGTTGTGCACTGATGTCAGTTGGTGATGATTTCAAATGAGACCTGCTCCCATGAAGCCCAGACTAAGGTTCAGATGTTTGTTTGTGTGTTTTTGTTTTCCTTTTTTTTTTTCCACCAAGTGCAGAGGGAAGATAGGGTCTCTGACTCTCAGTACCTATGAAATCATATAGGGCTTATCAATTTGAAGCTGAACACCTCAGGAATATGAAGTAAGGAGCAGGTCTCACAGATGTAGGAGGTGTAAGAAATTTATTGTAAAAAGTTTGATTCGTTGATGAATTGTCAGAAGCAACTGGGAACACATTTCTATTGCCACTCAGATGTGCACATGAGGCCCGTATAATGGCAAGGATTTGGGAACTGGAAACGGTTCAAATTAAGCAGACTGTTAAAAGTGAAACTGTTCCTGTAAGATAGCACAGCAAAAGGTTAATTCCTGTAAAAACAGAACTGCATCATCTGGAGGCAAAACTCAACTTCTAGCAGAAGTTACATTTAAAAGAGAAGCAACAGAAATCTCCATGCATGTGCACCCATGTTTGCGCCTCTAGCCCATAAAGATTCACTGAAGTTTAATAGTGTTAACAGTTACCACACCTTTCTGCTTTAAAGTTAAGTGGTGTTATGAACTTGAGCTGTGTAGCCATTTGATCAATCAAAGCCAACTACTGCAAAATATGAACTTGTGATTGGGCTTGACTTTTGTTGAAGTGGTACATATAAACCAATCCTGGCACATTATCAATTCTATTACGAAGGTCCATTGCTTTGAGCAATAGCATGCACAATGGTTTCTTCATTGAAGGGGCCCCTGTGAGTGTACAGTGAACACGTACCTGGATTCGTTTATATGAAGAGCCTATTTGTGTGTGCATAGTGTTACTACAGTTTGTGGGTAAAGATTTTGATGAGATAAAAGCCACGTTGGCATATATGTTGTCTTTAACTCATTGTTAAATTGTAATTTTTTCTGTGATAATTTTGCTCAACTTAGTTTAACAATTTTGATACCATGTTTTCTACGAAGTTTGTTCAGTGAATTAAGGTATCCAAATTTCAGCAATAAAATTTCTGTTGTTGTTTTAGAAAAGAAGCAGAAGTGTGTTCCCAGTTGCTTGATTTATATCTGAGTTTGTTTCCGACTTGAGAGTTGAAATGATTAACTATGTCTTGCTCCAACAGCTGGGCATGAGCCGGGGCATCGGCGGGTACGGCGGCACAATGGGATTCTACAAACCGGGTCTGGGTACCAGACAACAACTTCTGGCAAAACAAAAGGTCCGGCAGGCACGGATCCAGAGAATGCGTGGGAAGCAGCGACGGATAAGCCGAGACACCAGGGAATCCATCAACCGAAACTCCCCATCAGAGATGCCAGACGGAGAGGAAAACACTCCATCTGATGAGGACCCCAGGGACAAACAAGAGACGATTTATATGAAGAAAAAAACCCCAACTGTCTTCCCCAAGTTCGTGGTCCGCCCTCTCCCGACCACTCGACCACCTCAGTACTTTGTTCAGACAGATGGTCGCGATCATCCCCTCCAACGAGACATCTGGCTTAGGATCTTCCATCTGCTAAGTCAGAGTGACTTGTGTCGTTGTCTTCGTGTCTGTAAGACTTGGAACTGGTGGTGCTTTGAGTCTTCCCTGTGGCACACCATCAACGTCTCGAAGGTGCCGCTTGATAAGTATGTCTTGGCAGGGATTGTTCGTCGTCAGCCTATCTGCCTGGATTTGAGTGGATCGGGAGTGACTAAGATGCAGTTAGCCTGGTTGATGGCTCGCTTGCCTGCTTTGAAAGAACTCCACTTGGCCAGAGTGGACCTACAGGCTATCATTGCGCTCTGCTCGGCTACCTGTCCCCAGCTCTGCCTCTTAAACCTCCAATGGGTCAGTCTCCAGGATGGCCACCTGACTACTCTACTCTCACCAATCAGAGACCACCATCCAGGGCTTCTTGATGACCGCACAAAGCTGTGCAAGTTACAGGAGCTGCAATTGGCTGGAAGCGACATCACCGATATGAGCATGGAGATCTTGATTGAGCAGACACCACTATTGGCCAGGCTTGACCTTAGCTTCTGTGGGTTGATGACCAGTCAGGGGATTGCTACCTTGCTGGCTGAAGACTCGCCCCTGGTTAACACTCTCACAGGTAAGATGCTTGTGGAGACAGGAGACCAGACCTTGATGTCAAGAGCAAAGGTCCTGTCCCAAAACATGGCCTCGTATCCAGTCCCAAAAAAATTGAGGAGCCTCTAATTTTCAAGTCCAATCAACATACTGTAGCTTTGGCTATTTTGTGAAAGTGTTGTAGGACTTCAGTACAGGACTAGGACTCGACTCAAGTAATATTTAAAATACATTGTATATTGAAAAGCCAGTCTTCAAGTTCAAATGTATCGCAATGTCTAAACAGATCAAGTGAAGGAATGAATTTAGTAGAATTTTTGGCTGACATTCTTGTTTATGATTCCTCTTTTTCGTCTAGATCTGAATGTCTCTGGATGCCACAAGCTTTCTGATGACTGCCTAGTCAGTTTATCCCGCTGCAGGAAATTAAAGAAAGTGGTCGCTTGTTCCATCCCTAGACTCGCAAAGTCACAGTGGCGGGATTGGGCTGTCAACAATAGGGTCCAGCTTGAACTGTGAGAGGACTGATGTATATGTCTAGTATTGGAGTCTGCAAACCTAAGCATCATCATAAGATGGAATTTTGCGCCGTGATGTAATTCAAATTAGGTTTTGCCCTTCACCGACGTATAAACACTGTATACTCAGTGTGTAACCTCCCGAGTGAAACCTAAGCATACATATGCAGTCTTACGTCCGTGTGTATGATGAGAGTTGTATAAAAAGGTTTTTGGTTTATTGGTTTCTGATAGAAGTTGAACAAAACATGGGCGGACAGAGTGTAACTGTAAGCGTAATGTGGGTAACCAGCCCTTTTTCTTTCTAACATCTAGACCTGAATTTCATCCACATTATGTATTTGCCCACATTTATACTTTTGTTCGGTAGATATCTTGTTAAATAGTCATTTGATTATTGCAATGTCACTCTAAGGAATAAAGCCCTAGCCCTCAATAGGTCTCTCTCAAAGACGGCCATCTCTGCAGGCAACTGTGGATTTTACGCAACTGTGGTTACGCAATCAAGCACGTCGTATTGCACAGTGTTGAAAATATTCCAAACACGCGCGCTTGGTGGTCGAAATACGATGCAGCCGATACTCGTTGTGCAAGTTGACGCTCAAAATGGCGATGCGCGTAGCTGGTCTGTAGGAAATGACATCATTTGAGAGAGACCTATCCTCCAACATCCTCTTGGCAGATTTGGAGGATTCTGGAGCATTGAGGCTGCTATATATGGCAAAAAGTGTTAGTTGACTTTGGAGGACGCATTGTGTTCAGTTTGTAGGCTGTACCCAGCATTGTTAATGTTTATGTTCAGTCATGTATTGAGGAAAGGAATTTTGTTTTTGCAAGTTCAAAATGGCAATTGGGATGAGCCCAATCACCATGGGTTGAGCCCGATCACAAAATATTTCTTGCTTTGATATTAATTGATGCCGGTATTGACGCTGTGCACAGGACCCCCTTAACAGTTTGAAACGGAGATTTGGGGGAGCAGTTTGAAGGACATTAGGTTAAAATTAAAATTTGAAATATGTTGGCAAACAACATGTGAACACAGCTCTAATTGGTTTTGTACACAAATTTCAATTACGGACTTTCGGTCAATTGTTGACATTTGTTTGTGCTTTAACCCTTTTGCCTTAGGTCCACGATTGTTGGTTTTTACATACCCACAATGTGTCCCTCCCATTATTAAATTGGCTCTGTCAAAGCCATTACATTTTCCACAAAGTGCATATAATATCATCACAGATCTTCACGTGATGGATATGAAACCTGTGAGACTAGCTTAAACCACGTGCTCTAAAGCATTGGGATCTGTTTTAACTCAATTGTTGATTTGAGCAGACTGTACATGTATCTCAGCTCAGTTGTGATATATCCATATGTAACTTGTATTGAGTAACAAACTTATATGATTTAATATATTATGCTGCGACCTACTTTTGTAAAATGATAATCATGCAGCCATGCATGCCATTTTATCAATACAAGCAGTTTATTTTTGGGTGTGTTCGAGTTGCTCAACCAGATCGACTCTGCTTAAAGGCAGATGGGTTAGCCATGAGAGTCGGGCCAATCGAAAACTCAAACGTGGGCCATCCTTACGTGACAAAATGCGCACAGACTGCAAGCCTGAGTCATTTACTACTTTTCCGTCAGTTGCAAAAAGTGCCAAAGTCGGGCTGGAATAAGCGGCCTCTTATTAAAGTCGCAATGAGTCCCAAGAACGATGTCAGAGCTAATTACGAGGCACGGGGCTGACCCAAGTTGACCTGGGTGAGCTACTCGAGCGCACCTTATACATTGTGTAGTCATGGTAAATCTCTCTTAACCCAAACCCTGCTAAATGCAACAGAATGCTCCAGTGGTAAAAAAAGTTGTTGCAAGTTGTTTCATTCAGCAGTCTCCTGATCTGATGCATTGCACTCCTGCATTCCGTTGCATTTGGCAGGGTAGGTACTTGGTACCAAAGACTGGCATGTATTAGTTCACTGCATACTGTTGCATTTGGCAGGGTGCCTAGAAAATACCCTGTGGGGCCCATTTTAATGCAATCCTAGCCTTGGTCAATGCTCTCGTCGTTATTCGTCCCATACGCGGTAATCAATCAGCGGCATATCCTCGGGCGCTATGCAGTGCATGTCATCCGGCCACTATTATTATGCAAATTAGTTGGAGACAATCGAGAGCCTTGGTTCAGTCGTCGGCGAAAGCTTATGTTTTCCATATTTTGCGCTGGATTTCTCGTATGCCAATATAGATAAGTGTAGGCGGGGCTAATGTGGAGTGTCCAATCACGCCTTGGTAAATCCTGACGTCATCAAATTATTTGCAGCTCACGCCTTTTGCTGACGTGACCACATTTTTTGTGCATTGGTGCCGTGTGCAGAGACACACAACATACATATGTATGGTGCCACGTTTCACTGCTATGCAAGTTTTCACGCAATGATCGACCAATAAGAAAACAACATTTAAGGTCAGCTTAGACTATTAGCATAATGAGCAGTAACCATAAAACCTCACATGGACGATTGAACCAAGGCTCTCGATCGTCTCCAACTGATTTGCATAAAAATAGTGGCCCCATGAGGTAGCTGTTCGCGCTGTATTTTTACATGCACTGCATAGCACGCGAGGATATGCCGCTGATTGATTACCGCGTACGGGACGAATAATGACGAGAGCATTGACCATTAAGGCTAATGCAATCCTTGAAATGTACTGTTTTATATAACACCCAAGTAAATCCTTGTCATTTGATTGGAGGATTGTTGGTCATGCGGCATTCATTAATCGAACCATTGCATGGCCTACATTATAACCGTGCATTTTTGGTTCCGTTCACCATGCATTTCCGTCCCATCCCTTTTAATCTATTGCACGCCGCGCGCACGCTAAGACATGCAGGGGCCTGCTTTGTATGATGTTTGCACTATATAGCATGTGTTATAGCAGTAGAAAAGTTGCCTTTGAAGTTGATACGGGTGCCAAGCTTGATATCTTTTTTGCATTGTTTTAAGAACTTACAATGTTAATTTTCTTTATTGTCAATGATTTGACTTTTAAAACTTAATAACTTTCTGTACTAATTACATCACGCAATGTTTACCGCAGTGCATTGTGGGATTGGCCAAGTTGACTCAAAACCAACTCAGTCTGGGTCAACTCGGTCCCCAGTCAACTCGTCCCAGGTTCCAAACAAAATAGGGGGAGAAAATTTCTGCAATTTTATTCACAGAACGTGATCTGTTTCCTTTTTGTGTATGTATTTCCCGAGGTTAACCTTTTGATGTACTTATTTGGTTTAATCATTGATTTCGAGGTTATACCGATTGTACTGTCTTACTTGAAGCAGCGTGTTTCCCTGCCAGCGGCTGCCACAGCAAGTCAGTCGTTGCCCGCTGTACTACGCAACATACACTAGTCATGCGCGCTGTATACACGTAGTGAGGTGTGATATATGGCCATCGTGACTAGCATTGTGCATACCTAAATTTTTCGTTATTTTTAAGAATCATCGACCTGAAATATAGTTTAGATTAATGAAGACTTTGTTTTAACACATTTGAGGGTCATTTTCAATAGCTTAAGTGGCGCAAATGAAAATAAATCAGACCCAAAATACACAATACTATATGTTTTCTTCAGCAATCGCGGTGTGGCGACCCCCACTCAATCCAGCAATGCACTGCGGTTAACATTACGTGATGTAATTAGTACAGAGGGTAGCCTTGAAGTTGAACAAGTTGAAAAAAAAGTAGTGGATAAGGCAAAAAAAAATAAGTCTCCGGTTTCTGGTATGGAGTTTGCCCAAAAAGTGGTGCGGCGACGCGGCCTTTTTTTTTTTTTTAACCTGATTTTTTTGCCTCAAATGTCGGCTGATGATTGCAAATGGTGCCCGACTAGACTTAGTGCAAATATAATAGGAGTCCAGAGAGGCCACATGAAGCTTATTCTCGATCATAACCCCATCTAAAAACACGTTAAAATTGTGCAGCAGCAGGATTCCAGTCGAACCAGTGAGTTTGGCGGTTTTGAGACATCATCTTTCATTGAAAAAAAAACTTTTTCATTTTGCCGACGCGCATGGCTACGGCGACGCGCGCGCATACCAGAAACCGGAGACTTTTTTTTTTTGGCCTAAGATACTATTTTTTTACTTTTGTTTGTTAAGGTTTTATCCCCCAATCGAAATACAAAGATCTGCTTGAATGTTGTATTATACAAGTACTGAGTGGCTCAGCGTGGAATGGGAGGAATATTATCGCAAGGTAAAATCTGGACTTTTCCATTTCACGAGGGGAAGCCGAGTGAACTGGAAAAGTCCAGATTTTACCGAGCGATAATATTCCTCCCAATTCACAATTTAAAGCCACTCAATATTTGTTTTATCGGACATAGATACTTGTCATTTGATATATTTGAACTTTTATTTCAATACAAACTGGAGGAAAATGTACCACCCCTTCGCGAAAATGTTTGAACCCAACGCTGTAGTGCTGGCTCTTTGGAACAATATGCGCTCCACCCAATGCTGAACGCGTACATCGCGTACTTTTCGAGCCGCGGCGTGAATGGGGGCAATAACGAATGTCACGTGATGTGAGTTCCACCAATGAAATGACAAGGATCTCTGTATGTCGGTTATTATGTAAAACAAATAATGAATGTTTTGCATTCTTGCATTGGTGAATTGATTGAATTCATTCGTTGAAAGATGGAATGATCCATTCAACTCGGCTTGAAAATATTCTCACCATTGCATCATAAACATTCATTATTTGTATAATATTCCATTTAAATATATTTTTAATCATCAAATTGTCCTGCATGTATGTACCTAAGTATGTATAGAGTACGGAAGTGAATCACGCACACAATTATATGTGTAAAAAGACATTAATACGTGATTCAGCCTGTAAACCAACACACGCGCGCGTACTCCATTCATTGCACTACACTTCCTGGTTCTAAATGACGTCACACTTCGGTACTCTATGGGCTCCGTGCGGTAACAAAAGAGGGCGCATTTTTACCTCTTTTGAGAAAGGGAACCAACATCAAGGGCGGATCCAGGGGGGCCAACGGGGGCCATGCCCCCCCCCCCCCCCAAAAAAAGGCAGGCACTGCGTACATGCACCACCATCTTTTCCTCCAAAAGATTTGGTTACAGTGGTCAGAAATAGCCTCAGATCGCACCACAGAGCATGCATGTAAAATCCAAAATTGTTTTGGAGCCCTTTAATAAGTGGGCCCTAAACCCCACGCCATTATTTTTGCGACCCACTTTTTGGGGGACCCAAAATTTGTTTTCCCCCCCCCCCCCCCAAAAAAAATTGTGTTCTGGATCCGCCCTTGACCAACATGCAGAAAAATAATCTTACTTCAATCTAAAAGTATTAAAGATTGTACATATATGTTTTTAAGTGTTGTAAACTTGCATTTACATCAGTAGCTCTGAATTGTGTCTAATGCTGCATTCCAATTGCGCCGTGTTTATCGTATTCACAAATTCACTTCTCGTATTATAGGGTTCTTATGGCCAGGTAACTTGTATTCACCATTTTTTTTGGAGACCGAATGTTCTTCTCGAGTTCACGACTTGACAAAAAAACTAGCCCGGTCAACATGACACCTGTTTGCGAGTAGCATTAGAATAGAATCCACTCGTGAACTAGGAGTAATTCACGGTGAACATGATAAACACAACGCGATTGGGCGGCAGCATTTATTATGCAAATACAATATAGTTTGTGGGGAAATAGTGAAAACTAATGACCCCGAGGTGTTGGCTGATTGGGACTTCATCTTGGGAGATAGTTCTTATCATCCAACAGCGAGAGATCATTTGTTTTCACAATTTCCCCGCAATAACATGTTGTATTTGTTTTACTACACCTCATTCATCAGGCAGCTGCGGTATTTCATTGGTCCATTCCACCATGTTTTTGATCGTGCCGTATTTGGATAAAGTGAAACATTATTTTTATTTAAGGAGACAAACAGAATAGAAAGTTAATTTTGTGTCATTTAATAACTTTTAACATTCACACAAAACACTGGCTTTATTATTAATGTGTAAAATTTCACCCCTTACTCGGTTAAAATCGCAAAGCGAGCAACACCGGTCGCCAAAATTTTGATGTATGCCGTAATAGACTGGCACTACTGTCCTCACTGGTGATCTCCACGGTACGCACGAAAAGCGCATGCGACGTTGGTAAAGAGATAGCACAGTATTGGAGCAAATCTAAGGCTGCGACCAAGGTGTGTGATAGTACCTACCTGGTTTTTGCACGTCACGCACGCATATGAAAACGTGGGGAAATAGTAATCACTTTCACACGATTGAGTTGCTGGAATGGACCAATGCAATGCTGCAGTTGCCTGATGAATATTTATGAGATAAAGTAATAATACATATCTCCAAAATTGTGCTCCGCTCATTCAAGAATAAGTAATGCTTGAACAAGCTTGAAAAGAGAATGTATTTTGCCTATTCAAGGAACAACAATTACATTTTGAAGCAGGCTGTTAAGAATATTTTTTAGTACATGTACATATACATGTATAGTACTTCTTGGGAAAAGAAAGCAATTTTTCATTTAAAGCTTGAGTTCACTTTTTTACTTGCACCCTCTTGTGGTATGGTGTGATCCTCAGTTTTGCTTGCAATGGATTGTCCAAACCAATGTTAGGAAATGACGAGTTCTCTTTTTTGGGAAATGACTGCATTCTAGGCGCATCAATTCAATAGGATGCTTGATCTTGTTATTTGCTTTTAAAATAGAAAAGAATATTTCATATGTCATTTTTGTATGTTTACAAATGTGATGCGATCAAGCTAAGTGAGTCGTTTGTTGGGAATTTTTTTATTTGGAGATATAGGCCAAAATAGGGCCACTTCATCACATCACTTCATCACATCTCTTTATGTTCTGACTTCCATAATTTTTAAACTAAAGATGGTACCAGCATGCAGTTTTCACAGCAGTAATGCTGAGTTTGTGCTCTTTTTAAATCTGTAACGACTCGTGTAGCTTGATCGCACCATAAATGTTGTCCATTTACCCTTAACACTTTGTCAGAAAACATTTTATTCAGCATTTTGTAATTTGCAATGTGTAAGCCATTGATTTCTGGAACAGTACGTTATTGAAAACTGCCGCATGAGAGGCATATATATTGATTTAATCCCGAAATTTCTTATGTGAGTGCATATTGTTATTGTTTTGGGGGAAAAATCAAAATTAATGTTGCTTCTCTATACTGTGTACCTGTATTGTCGGGGAAATTCATTAGTCAAAAGTTCAAAGTTCAAAATTCACAGGAATACAGAAGGGAATAGTGTTCAAGTGCCTTGTCAGTTCTGTTTCCTGCCGTGCCCTTGTGATTTAAACTGACAAGGCAAATAGACAAGAAAATTGTTTAAACATGTACAATGATAAGAAGTGAAAATTACTTGCGCTGTTTGGGATTTCTGGAAAAAAAGGACATTTGTGTTGATTGCCTATATATAACTTAAAAAGTATAGTGCAGTTTTAATTCTTGTAATTTCTCTTTTAAATACATGTATTGTGTAACCAATAGGTGGGAACATGGATTTTATTAAAACATTTCTTTAGAATTCCAATAAATATAGTCTTGCGAATGTTCTCTTGATTTTGAGGTATTCTAAACTACTTGTTCCTGTTCCTGACTGTAATTACTGAACAACTAAGCCCCAGGATCCAGGGCCCGGCCCGGCCCGGGATCCAGGCCCCGGCCCAGCCCCCGAAATCCAGGCCCCGGCCCAGCTCCGGGATCCAGGCCCCGGCCCAGCCCCGGGATCCAGGCCCCGGCCCCGGCCCAGCCCCGGGATCCAGGCCCCAGCCCAGCCCCCGAAATCCAGGCCCCGGCCCAGCCCCCGAAATCCAGGCCCCGGCCCAGCCCCGGGATCCAGGCCCCTGCCCAGCCCCCGGCCCAGCCCCGGGATCCAGGCCCCAGCCCAGCCCCTGAAATCCAGGCCCTGGCCCAGCCCCGGGATCCAGGCCCCGGCCCAGCCCCCAAAATCCAGGCCCCGGCCCAGCCCAGGGATCCAGGCCCCGGCCCAGCCCCCGAAATCCAGGCCCCGGCCCAGCCCCCGAAATCCAGGCCCCGGCCCAGCCCCGAAATCCAGGCCCCGGCCCAGCCCCGGGATCCAGGCCCCTGCCCAGCCCCGAAATCCAGGCCCCGGCCCAGCCCCCGAAATCCAGGCCCCGGCCCAGCCCCGGGATCCAGGCCCCGGCCCAGCCCCTGAAATCCAGGCCCCGGCCCAGCCCCGGGATCCAGGCCCCGGCCCAGCCCCCGAAATCCAGGCCCCGGCCCAGCCCCGGGATCCAGGCCCCGGCCCAGCCCCCAAAATCCAGGCCCCGGCCCAGCCCAGCCCAGGGATCCAGGCCCCGGCCCAGCCCCCGAAATCCAGGCCCCGGCCCAGCCCCGAAATCCAGGCCCCGGCCCAGCCCCGGGATCCAGGCCCCTGCCCAGCCCCGAAATCCAGGCCCCGGCCCAGCCCCGGGATCCAGGCCCCTGCCCAGCCCCCGGCCCAGCCCCGGGATCCAGGCCCCGGCCCAGCCCCTGAAATCCAGGCCCCGGCCCAGCCCCGGGATCCAGGCCCCGGCCCAGCCCCCAAA